GGTACGTATAGCAATAACGCGGCTGAAAAACAACAAAGCCGCTGGAGCTGACAGCCTGCCAGCTGAGCTATTCAAGTACGGCGGCGAGGAGTTGATAAGGTGCATGCATCAACTCTTGTGCAGAATATGGTCAGATGAACGCATGCCCGACGACTGGAATTTAAGTGTGCTCTGCCCAATCCACAAGAAAGGTGACCCCGCCATTCGCGCCAACTACCGCGGGATCAGCCTTCTAAGCATAGGTTACAAGGTCTTATCGAGCGTATTGTGTGAAAGACTGAAGCCCACCGTCAATGAACTGATTGGGCCTTATCAGTGTGGCTTTAGACCTGGCAAATCCACCATAGACCAGGTATTCACAATACGCCAAATCTTGGAAAAGACCCGCGAGAAAAGGATCGACACTCACCACCTATTTGTCGACTTTAAAGCCGCTTTTGACAGCACTAAAAGGAGTTGCCTATACGCCGCTATGTCTGAATTTGGCATCCCCTCAAAACTCATACGGCTGTGTAAAATGACGTTGAGCAATACCACCAGCTCCGTCAGAATTGGAAAAGACCTCTCCGAGCCGTTCGCCACAAAACGGGGTTTCAGACAGGGCGACTCCCTTTCATGTGACTTCTTTAATCTGATGTTGGAGAAGATAATAAGAGCTGCAGAACTGAACCGCTCAGGAACAATTTACTACAAGAGCGTGCAATTGCTGGCTTATGCCGATGACATCGACATCATCGGTAACAAAAACCGCGAAGTCTGTTCTGCCTTTTCCAAGTTGGATAGGGAAGCAAAGCGCATGGGTCTGGTGGTAAACGAGGACAAGACGAAGTATCTCCTGTCATCAAACAAACAGTCAGCACATTCGCGCCTTGGCACCCACGTCACTGTTGACAGTTACAATTTCGAGAAAGTAGAGAATTTCGTTTACTTGGGAACCAGCATTAACACCGATAATAATGTCAGCATTGAAATCCAACGTAGAATCACTCTTGCCAACAAGTGCTACTTTGGACTGAGTAGGCAATTCAGGAGTAAAGTCCTCTCTCGACGTACGAAAACCACGCTCTATAAGTCACTCATCATGCCCGTGCTGGTATATGGCGCAGAAGCATGGACAATGACAACATCCGATGAGGCGGCTCTTGGAGTGTTTGAGAGAAAGATTTTGCGGAAGATTTACGGGCCTTTACGCGTTGGCGACGGCGAGTACCGCAGACGATGGAACGATGAGCTGTATGAGCTTTACAACGATATGGACATAGTGCAGCGAATTAAAATACAGCGGCTCCGCTGGCTTGGTCATGTCGTTCGAATGGACACCGACGCTCCAGCTCTGAAAGTATTCAACTCGGAACCCGCTGGTGGTAGCAGAGGAAGAGGGAGGCCCCCACTGCGATGGAAAGATCAGGTGGAGAAGGACTTGGCTTCACTTGGCGTTTCCAATTGGCGTCAGTTGGCACAGAGGAGAAACGACTGGCGTGCTTTGCTGAACTCGGCCAAAATCGCTTAGGCGGTTACAGCGCCAAAAAAGAAGAATGAGAGAGAAAGATTAAAAATTATGCATAATGGGGCACAGATGGATGAGACGCATTGCTTTAAAAAATATGAAGAAAGACCATCATTATCACTTTTCATAGAAGATTTAAGACAGGAAATACCATTCGAGATATCTAACTCAGTTAAGGTTAGAGACCCAAAATCTAAGAAAGAATGAAGAGGGAAATTTACGGAAGTATTAACAGACTCGTCAACTGAAACGAAATTCTATTTGAAAAACTCTGCAAAAAGAATTGACAGAATCTGTAAGAGACCGAGAGCTCTTCCCATTAAAATGCATACAAGTTGGAATGTTGGACCCACCTCTTTTAGAGCGAATATAGTTCCAAAAGGCCTTGGGGTTTACTTTCAGCTCAGACTCAAATCTATTTACATATTTATTATATAGAAATTTGTCTAAGACGTTAAATTGCTTCATATAATAGGTGTATTTATCTTTAAAGCTAATGATGTTGCGTTCCTTATACAGCTTGTAGTATTTATTCCTTTTGTTTTTTAAAGCTTTAAGATTTTTAGTATACCACGGGAGTTTATGAAGTCGAGGCGGTAGAGGTGAAAGTTTATTAGTGAATAATTCAGTCAATTTATGTAGAAAAGATTCAAAGCACAAAGAGACATCTTGTGAATTCAGAATAGTCTTCCAGTTTACCTCAGAAATAGCAGCATTTAATTCATTAAAATCGGCACCACGAAAGTCGAAAGAGTCACGATTTCTAACTTCAATAGAAAAAATATTGTAGAATTCTAGTTACGATGAGAGGCATATGATGTTTATCAGTAGCGCTAATTGGAAAACCACATTCATTCAAACTAAATATTAAGTTTTTATCAACAAAAATTAGATTTAAAATTTTATTTAATTTATTAAAAAATTTATTGATTTGAAGAGATTAAAACTAAAAAGACTATCTATAGGATAAATTTCATGAGCTCTATTAATATTTGTTGGAGTTAAAATATCATTGTTTTGCAAATAGGACCATTTCAAATCAGTGAGATTAAAATCACCTAAGAAGCAGAAATTACAATTTTCATTATGCTCAACAAGATGCATTATATTATTAACATGACAGCTATACAGATCATCCGTACTAATTGGTGGGATATAAGACACACATATCAGTAATTTACGAGCAAGGCCAAAAATACACACACACAGTTGATCAATAAGAGAGTCGCCATCCAATAGTTGTATAATTGAAGAACGTAAACGGCTTTTAACGGCAATTAAAACACCACCACCCTTACGATGACCAGTTTATATAGCGTCTCTATCCTTTCGATAAATTTGGATTAAAATATTCTTCATCAAAGAAGTCCGAGTTAAGCCAGGTTTCAACAAATACATAAATATCATATTCAGCTCGCGAGGTCGCTAAGTATACCTCCTTCGTTTTAGTGCGCATTCCAGACATATTTTGGAAATAGATTTTGAGATTACGAGATTTGCAATTTATATCTACAGAGCTATTTGGTCGGTTCAGTGGTACCTTCCCTCTGAAAAAATTTAAACGGGCGAATACTAGTTCCCGAAGGCCATACATTAGGATTCAAAATCTTCCATAAGATGACGGCAAAACTCCAAATTTAAAATTTACACTGCGAATGTTATCGAGAGATGAACCTTTCTTTACAAGTTTGAAACATGCAAGATGTTTGCTATCGACGCCAGAATTTTTTGATACATAAGCAATGATACTATCAGCAGTCACGGTTGGCTTAAAAGCCGATACATGCACCCACTTCTTTTTGATAACAACATCAAGTTCGGCATTATCATTATTATTATTTCCAACAACTAAAATACGACGCTTGGGTAATTTATTTTGTTACACAGTATTCCTATCTTTTGAGCAAACACCAACTGCAGGCAACTGAGCTTTCAATGCGATAGTAGATGTAGACTGAGAACGGTTGAGAGCAGGTGCAGTACCAGTCACAGTCTCAGCGTTAGTATTAGCAGCAGTAATTTTGCCAGCGACATGGGAATAGAGCATATTAGTTGTAGGTAGAGCGGCATTGCTAGTAGAAGAAGCAAAAGAGAGAATGTTGTCAACGGCAGCAGCAGCGTCAGCGGCGGTTTCACTCACAACTTCAACAGCGGCGTCAACGGCAATGGTAGCAGCATTTGTATATATGTCTGAAGCAGCAGGAAGGATATTTTCAATATCAGCAGCGTCTACAGCAAGAGTGCAGTTTTTATTGAGTAGTATACTCATCAAAGAGCCCAGCTCAGCTTGGAGATTATCTACTTTCTTTAACAAGATGTTTTTATCATCGTACAATATTTGCAGCAGAGAGAACATTCGCACATTCTCTGCTCTAAGACCAACGACTTCATCAAGCACAGACTTGAGCATTGACTCCAATACAGTAGCTTTCGGGTGATCGAGGTTTTTGTATTGTATCGTATCCAAACTCTGCGATTGTTGTTTATGTTTTGGCAATACACCAGTTGAGTTCGCATTCTGCGACTGTTGCTTTGGTTGATTAGCAGCAGCAGCAAGAGAATTTACAGATTCCGTTACTGATTTTGTTGGTACCAGAGGTTTAGACAGTGCACGAAAAGATTTGCGGCGCACTTTTGTACAGATTTCACAATAAAATGAGTGATTGGATTTTTGCAAAAATCGAATTTGTTGAAGCGAACGGTTTGGCGAAGTGAATTAAGAGGCAGAGAAGGCATTAAGAGTGTTCGCGATGCAGGTCTATTCTGCGCTGGTAATAAATATTTTGTAACCGGTAAATCAAGTTCCTGTCAATTTTAAACCCTTTTCGCATTCTGTATACTCTTGCAACCGGTAAATTTTGTTACCATCTCATAAGCTGGTAACTAAATATTGCCTCGTGAAATATGCAATGGCAGAATTTCCACAATTCCTCTTAACAGAATTGCTGAATATTTTAACTGCATTACCTACGTACCTAGAATTGCGGTGACAAGAACTGGTAACATTTTTTGGTAATAAAATTTTCCGGTTTCAAAATCTTCGGTAACGTGCAGAATAGACCTGTTAATGCATATTTTAGTTGCGTTCGCCAAACCATTCGCTCCGCCAAATTTATTCACTTCGCAAATGACAATAACGATTTAAATTCTCATATAAAAATTTGAGAGTAAACCAAATTAGTAAAGGACCACCTCTGCGGTACCACCTTAAAAAAAGGAATTATAGAAAACAGATGATGTGGTTCAAAGTTATGAGGGAACATAACAAAAAATAAAAATATATTCAGCATGAATCATACTACACTTATAGGACTAGTTNGACCACCTCTGCGGTACCACCTTAAAAAAAGGAATTATAGAAAACAGATGATGTGGTTCAAAATAAAAATATATTCAGCATGAATCATACTACACTTATAGGACTAGTTAACTTCAAAATTAATAATCAGTTTTACACCGTATTATATTGTACTTATAGATTTTCACTCATTACCTCTTCTACCTCCTTTAACCAGCGGCCAATCCCGTCGAAACTCCATTTATTCGTAATGTCATAAACTAATATAATTCCTTGTGCACCTCTAGAATATGATCTTATGATTGTACAAAATCGGCCTTGTCCAGAAGTATCCCATATTTGCAATTTAACACGCTTGCCCTCCAGAAGAATAGTTGTGGTTTTATAAGCTAAAAGTTTCAGATTGTTCAAAATTTTATCGTTTAATTTGTCAATCCAATTACCGTTTCCACTGCAGAACGGGCTGTCGGACGATGCATCTTCAAGACAAGATAATATTTCGTGCTTGCCAACATCACTATCTCCAACCAGAAGAACCTTCAATAGGTAGTCATAATCTTTTGTCATCTCTATTGTGGTCTAAAAAATATAATAAATTTATTTGTATTAACAAGAAAAGCAGCATGGGCAATATTCGTCCTCCCGTTCTATTTATTTCAAGATTATTTTATTATTTTAATGTGAATCGCACCGATAAACAAAGAGCATATTTATTTATTTGAGTTTAGGCATGACTAACAACACTAAGCGAATAGATGCATATTGTTGTCATTCCCACGACAGCTGGTTATACGTACAGGAATAACTCGGGTTTTACCCGACCAAGGGCTGTTGTTTCGGCGATCTACCCCCTTTAGGTTGGCGAAGTATCTCAGACGTTGTTCGTCCATAGGGCTACATTTGCTACGTATTCTTCAGGGCTGGCATCGAGTGAAACCCAGGGCCAGAAACTTACACCTGCTGTGTATGCCAGAGTCTCAGTCAAGTGCAATGCTTGCGACGGGTCACCTCAGAGTCTGCTCAGGCCTACGGACTCATCGGCAGTGGACCACATCATTTGTGGCCCCCTGCAGCTCAAACAGAGCAGCCTACACGGCTAACCCCAGTTCGCCTGAGCAGCTCAACACAAACACCACAGCATCACAACACAATAGACCACACCACAACCACGACAGACCATACAACAGACACAACTGCACCACCACCCAAACGCCGCCGCCAACAACTCCAGGATCCTCTTACAATCTGCACGGTATGTCAGACCAGGATATTCCGTAAAGTGATATCAGTCAAGTGCAACACCTGCCTTGGCTGGTGCCACTTTAGGGCATGTTCAGGTCTGCGCACCACGCGAGAGTGGACGAGGAACTTCGAGGGCCCATGTTGCGCTCGCTGCTCGGTCGCAAACCCAATTGCGACGCCACCCACCACCACCACCACAGGGCGGCATCCTCCACAGCAGCGCACACAGCCAATGGCGGCAAGGCAACACATATCCCTTACAACCCGCATAACAACACGTCTCCCGAACCACATGAAGCTCCTTCAATCTAACTGTAACGGACTTCAGAGCAATATCGAGGAGATAACCGTCTTCATAGGAGGCATGGTATATTGATAGCTGCGGTCCAAGAGACGAAGTTGCACAGCAATTCAACATTGTTAAATTGTGCCGGATACAACGTGCACCGTCGAGGTCGCGAGCGAGATAATGGTGGTGGCTTAGCGTTCATCACGCACCACACCGTGCAGTATCGTCATATTGAAGCAGACATCGACTGCAGGGATACCACCCTAGAATGTCAGGGCATTGCTATCCGTTCAGGCGATGTCGAGCTAGAAATATTTAACGTTTATATACCCGTAAGTTCCGCAGGGTTGTCACCAAAGTTGGGCGTTTCCGGCCAAATCTGGTCGGATTAATTTACTTTGGCTGGTTGGCCGGTTTTGTAATACGTATGAATATTTTTTGTGGAAAAAATTTATTGTGCCTACAAATTTGAGGTATTTTTCGTATGTACATAAAATTACCATACTGTTAATGAATCGCAGGTCCAAGTAGGTGTTCACAACTATCAAAAACATAACGCACATCCGTCCACATGAACATCTTTGTAGAAAGCCCGTCAATATAAAAAGTTCCCCCTATGTGAGGTAAGATTTTAACTAGTTTGTAATAATTTTGTATTCCTTTTGCATTTATGGTTGTTTTAAACAAAAACAATGTTTTAATTATATTAACATCAAAAAAAAACTAAAACGGTATTTTTTCTAATATTCCTGCCATGAAAAACAGCATCTCATAAAAATACTATCGCCATTCCGAGTCGGCGTAAAAAATTTTTTTTATAAGTGACCCGTTTTCGTATGATTTCATTAAATCTTAAGGCGGACGAATGTCACGTCCGACATCATAAAAGTTGAGTTGGTTATTGAAAAAAAGCAATTTTTTATGGCGGTTTTTGTTCGATTTGGTCTGAAATTTGGACGGGGGAGACATTTTCAGTGGCAACACTGGTTGTCACTGCTGCTGCAGCTCGCTTCATACCAGCAGGATGCATTACGGACCCCCGTCCAAACATCCGTGCTGAAGCGGCTGTTCTAGCCGATGAGCGNCGTAATTCATGCATACTTATATTTAAGTGCTACTTGTGAATTGAATTTTTATGTTAATGAAACAATGTGATTTGCTACAATGCGAAAGAATTTTTAAGTATATACAGTGTATATTATACACACATCTCATATATGTATGTGCCTACATATGCACAACTGCATATGGGTGTTTCCATGAAAATGTAAACAGAAAATGCAAGCAACCGGGTTTAAACGACTTTAAAACTTTAAATTTCGTATTCAGATGGCGAAAGGAAGTTAGAAAAACGCAAAACAGCAGAGAGAAGAACTGAAAACATCAAATAAAAAATTAAATTATATATTTATTACTAGTAAAAATATTGTATGGGGCAAAAATCAGTCACGTCCGATATGCCACGTCCGTTATCAATTTTTAATTGATTCTAATTAAATATGAATTCGTTGTAATGGTCCGTAATTTGACTTTATTTAAAGAATATTTAAGAAAAAAAACCTCACAGAATTCGCACCCTTTTACTTGTTTTTACATGTACTTTGAAGCCACGTCTTTTTTTACCACGTCCGTTGTGACCTCCTTTTCATTGATTTTTCCGACACCAGTGTTCCAACCGTACCTAATTTTTTTGTCACCCACAGAACGATATAAAAGCTACACAACGCCAAATTTTTTTTATAAGTGACCCGTTTTCGTATGATTTCATTAAATCTTAAGGCGGACGAATGTCACGTCCGACATCATAAAAGTTGAGTTGGTTATTGAAAAAAAGCAATTTTTTATGGCGGTTTTTGTTCGATTTGGTCTGAAATTTGGACGGGGGAGACATTTTCAGTGGCAACACTGGTTGTCACTGCTGCTGCAGCTCGCTTCATACCAGCAGGATGCATTACAGACCCCCGTCCAAACATCCGTGCTGAAGCGGCTGTTCTAGCCGATGAGCGTGACTATATTATTATATGATATTTTGTTATTTAAAATTTAATTTTCTTTATTATTTGATTGCGTTGAAAGTTAGTTTATTAATAATCAAAAATTTTCTTTTCCATTAACAAACAAATTCATAGAACAATAAATTTAACTCCAAGAATTTAAACAAGTGTAAAAACATACAGTTTAATTACCCTACATTTACTCCCCCTCCAGTAAAACGATAAATTAATTAATGTTGAATGTTATTTTCTTTTTTGTATTTGGAATTGTTAGTGAATTAGAATTTTGTGATGTACCAGAAATTATATTTTCAGGTTTGAGTAAATCTGTTGCAACCGTTTTAATCATATTTCCATGTTGAACTTTGAATAATTTGTAATTTTTCGAAATAATTTTAAATGGTCCTTCATCAGGTGATTGCAAATTTCTCTTGTGAATTACTGTGATCTCACATTTGAAAAATATTTTCTTAGCTTAGAAAGTTTCATTTGTATTATCAACTTCATTATTATGTTCGGAACAACTAATTGACCTGGTAATCTTAATGTTTGTCCATAAATTAATTCTGCAGAAGAGAATTTTAAATCTTCTTTAATAGACGTACGTAATCCTAAGGAGGAATTTCAGACCAGTGGGTAGAATCCTCCGCAACAGTAATAGCAGTCTTTAATGTCCTATGAAATCTTTCAATCATCCCGTTAGATTGGGGATGATATGGACTCGTATGAATTTTTTGTGATCCTAACAATTTAGTTAATTCTGTAAACAATGTTGATGTAAATTGTGATCCTTGATCTACGATTATTTAAAGAGGAATGCCAAAACAAGGAACGTAATTTTGAAGAAATGTTGTTGCTATTGAATTTGCTGAAATATCCTTAGTGGATATGCTTCTGGCCAACGTGTATGTCTATCAATGATAGTTAAATTGTAACGATTTTCTTTTGACACAGGTAATGGACCAACAAGATCCATATAAATATGTTCAAATCGTCAAGATGGAATGTTAATATTTTGCAAAGGCGTCTTCGTATATTTAGAAATTTTTGATTTTTGACAACTTATACAAGTAGAAGTCCAATTATTTATTTTTATCAGTTAACGTTAATAATTCCAAATTTCTATAAAAAAAAAATGGTTTTAAAATTTAATTATATTGAAAATGGTAGATTGATAAATCTCTAATTAATTATAAATTAATTTGTTAATAAATTTGATTTTTTAATCAAATAAACAAAGTCGAAGAGTATCATATAAAATATTCACAAAAGCTGAATGAATAAACTAGACTTCAGTCACGAACATTTTTTTTAATTAATTAATATACACACATATGTAAATATATTATTTGTTAAATATCGATTATATAACTAATAATACAAAATTTTAATTCAATAAAAGCAGCAGTAATAGGCTTAATTTTATTCTGTTTCACTGCGAAAGCTCGTTATCACACTAGATTAAAAAAAAAATTATTCAACTAATTCGTCATAAAACTTACAGGCTTATTCCATGAAATTAGGGGGGATGTGCGAGAACTGAAATTATAGTTGGAAAAGGTCATTTAAACCAGCGTTAAAATGTATTATCTGTTGTTGATTGTTGAAGAAATTCTGTTAATTTAGCTGGCGAGGACCCCAACTGGTCTTATGAGAATTTCATAAATTTCCGTTTGTTGAAATCAGCTGACAATGTACGCCAACAGCTTGCTTGTATAATGGTTCGTTTCAATTTGAAACTGAATTCACATCAATAAATTACTATGTCAATATACGTGAGGCGTTGGTGCGGGGATTCTTTATGTAGGTGGCGCATTTAGAGCGCACCGGTCACTATTTTACCATAAAAGATAATCCAAATGTACAGCTGCTGCTCCGTCTACATGCCTGGACCACAAACCCGATTGGGTAATTTTAACCTCACAGTACTCCGAAATGACGAACTTTCCACAATGCGACGCTAACAGACAGAAAAAAATGCTGCAGCATCCTTTCGAATTGAAGCAGCTTCAAAAAGGATTTTAGTTGAATCACTTATAAACTGGGCCCGATTTTATTCCAAAAGGTTTTGCTTTTTCC